AGGATAAATTTTCCCACCACTAATAACCACTATTTTAGTCAGATAGGTGATGGCAACGGCTTTTGAGATCCCCTTATTTCCCATCAAGAATTAATAGTTTTACATGGTCTAGAGGAAGTAATCCTAGGGCTCATAGATTGCTCCAGTTACCAATGTTTAGTCAGGGAATAAACAGCGGTTCTCAACCTGTGGGTCGCGACCCCTTTGGGGGTCAAACGACCCTTTCACAGGGGTCGCCTAAGACCATCCTGCATATCAGATACGATTACATTATGATTCATAACAGTAGCAACCTTACAGTTATGAAGTAGCAACGAAAATAATTTTATGGTTGGGTCACAACATGAGGAACTGTATTTAAAGGGCCAGAAGGTTGAGAACCACTGGACTAACAGCTTTTAGAGTCAACCTCCTAAGGCCTCTGGATAGCCTCAAGCATTCTTGGGCGTATTCACTTCCCTGTTGAGTGACAGGAAGGGTCCAAGCACGGTGGCCTTCAGTGACTAAGGCACAAGTCACCCCAGAGTGGACAGCCCAGCACTCTGAGCATCTCCGTCCCCCTCAGACCCTTTGAGTCCAATTGCATTCTGGCCCTTCCAGGCCTCTATCAACCCCCAGCAGCCCTAATTCCTCCATCCCCCAAAGTCATTCTGGGGGAAAGGTTGAGTTTCCCAAGAGCTGGAGAAATCCTCAGGAACCAGAGAAGGTACCGCCCTTCTAAAACCTTCCTGATGCAGAAACAAGCCACAGAGTGACCGAAAAGCACTTCAGTCTTCTCCCAGCATCCTCCAGCTTGGGTCTGGGCCTCTCGGCCTTCTCAGAATTGGAGAAGACTCCAAGACTTTCTGAGTCTGAATCGACATTTCCAGGGTTAGTGTGTGTCTAAGACAATCAAAAAAAAAAAAAAAAGTGGTTATGCTTGCTGGGAATGAGTTTTTCCTCCACAGCTGCGCTTAAGTCCCCTGCCAGTGAACAATTTGTGATTGAAGCCATCTAGAATCTTCTGACTGACTAGTTCTGTGGCTCAAGGTGCTGTAAATATTGATTCCCACAGCTCTGACCTGGACTCACCTTGCTCTTTGAGGTCAGACATAGAAATGATTTTATATTCTGCTGTTCTGACCAAGGCCCAAGCACTCAATCACGTTGTTGAACTGATTTTACTCCCACCCTGGACTTTTATAATAAGGTTAAACTGTAAACCCAGGGCAGAATCTGTTTTCTGAGGACACCTTTAGGAAGACTCTGCAAAAAGGGTAAATGTTTCTTGATAAGGCATTTGCTCCATCCTCAGAGCACCCAAACTTAATGGGTCAGAAAAACACCCAGGTGCTGTTGTGGTTTGATAGAAGCAGTTATCACATGCTATTTAGAGAGTGTGTGGAAGGATTTCTTGGCCCCTATCGAATCCTGGAATTCTGTTTCCAACAGGCTTTCAGCAGCCCTGGCTCTGAGTCATCTGCCCGGTGACCAGAAGCTGGGACTCAACATCATGTGCCTCCCAGATGATGAGGTCAAATGTGCCAGACCCGTTGGGAGACTGATAACTGGCTTATTAACATCCATAAGTGATAGCACTTTTGATTAAACCTCACATCTCTGCTTGTTCCCTTTCGTGTCCCTTCTAAAATTAGAGCTGGTATTTTAATAACCTTGCCCTTGCTTGAACTTCAGGATGGTTCAAGGATAGTGGAAAATCATGATGTCCCTACACTATTACTCCCAAGGACAGGGGATTTTCTGGGTCAAAAGCCTTAGGCTTTAATTCAAGCCTTACTGATCTTTTTTTTCCCTTTAGAGCACATTTAGATTTTTTTTAAACCCACCAAGATATATATAAAAAAAGAGCATAAGGTTTAGATTCAGCTGCTCTAATAACAGCTGCTGCCCTAACCTAGATAAGTAAATAAACAGAAGTCAGTGCTTCAGTTCTTCATCTATAAAAGGGAAAAAAGCTGCTTCTTAGACTTAGTATAAGAATCACATCAGATAATAGATAGAAATTCTTTTGTGAATAACAAAAGCAGTAATTATGAGGTATTGTCACAGTTATTATTGACTCCTGGGTTTTCTCTTTTGTGGCAACATTGCTTTGTTTGAAAACTGTCATTGCCAAGTCTATTTGTCCCATTTCAATTTTAGTGTTCAAGACATAAAATCTTATAAAAGGATTTGCAACTGTCCTCTAAACTTAAGTAACCCCAAACCTAGGGAACGAAGATGCTCCAAGATGACAGACAGTTCTAGATCTCCATGAAAGTAAGGAGACAAAGACCAAAGGCCAGACTGATGAAAATCAAGACAAGTGAAGTTAAACTGGACAGTGGGTGTCAATAACCATAGAGAGTGTCTTCAGTCAAAGGGGAGAAAAGAAAAGAGGAAGTCTAGGATTTCCTGACACAGAATAGAGTGTTGAGGACTGAGTTAAGGTGAATATGCAAAGAAAAAACTAGAGGTAGGGAGGCCCTTGCAAAGAATATTAAAACAATTCAGATGGAAGGCAGCTGACTTTTGGACAAGGATTGAGCACAGGTTAAGATAGAAAGGGGAGGACAGAAAGGAAAGGATAAATCTGACCAAAGACTCATTAGACAGAGAAATAAATGAGGATGAGGCAGAGGCTCTGGGCTCAGGACATCAGTGTGAGGACCTTAGTCAGGTTGCAAAGCAGGAGTTGAAGGGGGAGCATGAAAGAGTGAGAGCTGGGAGGAGAGTGAGATGTGGAAATGTAAGGTCTTAGAGGAGGGGGAATTCTGATTGATGGGAATGTGTGCATGGGTGTGGATGACAGAGATGGGGAGCGAAGGTGACAGTCCCTGAACTGGAGGATGTCAAGTGCCTAGAGGACCAGGGTCTTTGCTAAGCGCCCACATTGCGAGTGGAGTCCCAGGATGAAGGTGGGATGTAAGGCAATCACGCACACAGGAACCAAAGTTGTCCATAAATTTGGAGGGATGACCATGAGTTTAGAAGATGAGAGTGACAGGAAGGGAAGGGCATGGTATAGCCCAGTGGTCGGCAAACTGCGGCTTGCGAGCCACATGCAGCTCTTTGGCCCCTTGAGTGTGGCCACGAAGTTTCAATCGCACTGTACGTGTGCGCCCGCATGTCATATTTTGTGGAAGAGCCACACTCAAGGGGCCGCAGTTTGCCGACCACTGGTATAGCCCAATGACAGGGGCCCTTGAAAGGACCACTCAAGTTGCTGTGCAGAGAATAGACCATGAAGCAGAGATGGGAGGTCAGCAAAGGGGAAGCGGGAAAAGCAGTGAGGAGGCTGTTGCCATAGCGGTAAGCACTCATAAGAGAATATGAATATTATTTAAAATGTCAACCCTTCTCTCACCTATGATCTCTTCAACCTCTTTCCATCCCCTCAGACCCAACCCCAGAAATGGTGAAGATGAAGGCTGAGCAGCCCTCCATGACCCCTGAAAAGACTACACGTAGATGATGCTTTCTCCAGACGGTCAGGCGTCAGTACAAAAAGCCGAAGTCACAGAGGAATCGCTCTGTGCAGGGGTGGAGGGTGCAGAGAACTCTGATGCCAGCTCATCTGGGTGCACGAGGAGCTGAGGAAAGGGCCCCAGAAGGCAGAGCAGAAGATTGGTGAGCAGGAGGGCTTGCATCAGGGGCTAGGTCTGAAGGACAAGGATGAGAATCCTGGGAAGAATGAACTGACCCCAGGGTTCTGAGTAGAACTCTAGGCAGGCTGAAATCTCAGGCCTTTTCAGAAACCCAATGGCATCAGGAATCTTAACAAAGCATTAGAGGAGGTGCTGAGGTTCAGACTGGCCAAGGAACTCTGCCACAGTAAGCCAAGAAGGAGGGCCTTTTATATGTTCTTCAGGGTACAGTGAGTTAGGGGGTGCCATAGTCTCTGTTGTCTGCCGAAGTAGTACATCACTTCTGAACACCCATGAGGCAGTGACCTTCAGCCAGCTGGTAGGCCTGCCAGCATGATGTACGAAGGGTCGTCACCTGAGGTCAGCTCTCAGTTCTCAAAGGCCCTGCTAACCGTGATGCTGACTGTGTTTTGACATCTAGGTCTTAGTTATATAATGGTACCCATTGATTCTCTTTTTGCTCTTTGGCCCTGCTTTCTTCCTCCCTTGTTCCCTCATCTACAGCATTACTGATGACCTTGAAAAACTGGTGACAACCTAAATGTCCAACAATAGGAGAATGAATAAATCACAATATTTTTGTGCTTTGGAATACTGAGAGGCAATTAATCAAATGGGGTAAACTTGTATCTGCTATCATGGAAGGATCTCTAAGATGATTGTTGGGTGACAGAAAAGGAATTAGCAGGATAATGACTAGTGTTAGATTGCATTTTTGGAAAGAAAGGGAAGGAAGGGAGAGAGGGATGGGAAGGAAGGAAGGAAAAAAAGGGGGGAAGGAAGGAAGGAAGGAAGGAAGGAAGGAAGGAAGGAAGGAAGGAAGGAAGGAAGGAAAGAGGGAGGGAGGGAGGAAGGGGAGGAGGGAGGGAGGGTGGGAGGGAGGAAGGGGAGAAGGGAAGGAGGGTGGGAGGGATGGAGGGAGGGTGGGAAGGAGGAAGATGAAATCATATTTATGTATACTGTGTGTATAAGTATATTTGTTTGGTGTTTGTGAGTAGAGAAAAATTTCACAGAGATACTGAACTAGGAACTGTAGTCCTACAGACGTGGCCCTAGGGGTAGAGGGAAGGAACGGAGGAAGAAGCTTGACTACTTACGCTTACATTTCTGTAACTCCGGAACTTTTTACAAGCAGGGCTATAGCTTACATTAGTAATTAAGTCAGATAATGATCCTATCTAGGTCTGGTCTTTATAAGCTCAGTGCACACTGCGGCTTTATTAACTCTGGGCTGGGGCACGATGGAAGCGAGTGTCTGTTTACTCACTGCAGGCTCATTGTTCGGAGGAACCCAGCACGGATGATGGAAGCAAATTGCAAAATCACTCAGCAGAAACTGGAGAACGTTGTCAATGAGTTGGAAAATTGTTCTGAGCGATTTCTGATGAAGGGTAGTGACTGGGCTGAAGCTGAGAAATTTGAACTGCCTTGCTGTCTTCTGATTATGAGAGCTGAAATTATTAAAGTTTAAAATTACATAAGCAGACAGACGGTTTTCTCACTCTTAAATGACAAATGTAAGTCCCACACAAATAATTGAAGGTTATAAGGAGTTGTATCTGAAACCTACCTACATTACACTATAAATATTTTGAAAAGTGAATTCAATTTAATATAAAAATACTAAAGGTGATGTTTTAATAATTTTTATATTTGATTTGTTTACATAAGGTTTCACCCAAAGGCTGGGTGAACAACCTTTCCACCCAATCACTTAAAAATCGGTTAGAGTTGACACCGATGACTTCATCTTACATTAGCTTCCTGCCTAAATATATTTCCGAACAAATTACTGCAGACAACCTCCGTGTTAAAACAGCTTTCGTGCAAACACAATCTCTCAAACAAGTGCGAAGGAGCTACACTTGAAAATTCATCCCTCGTCATTAATTTCCAAAGTCAAGGACACTTGGCTAAGCCCCGGCCCAGATCTCAAGAGAGAAAAGGGCACAGGTCGGCGGTGGACAAGGCTTGTGCTCACAGCCAGCCTCACACATGCTCCTCCACCCAGTCGCCCAGGAGGCTGGTTCCGTCTGGGCTGGGCTGCTGACCACCCCGCCGGCCAGGCCTGATTCTTCTCCCAGCCGCCCTGCAGCTTTCTTCTGTGGATTAACCAGAACATTTTCAAAACCAGATCAAATAATTGCTATTCAGAAAGGGCAGGTCCACCCATGTTTAGAGACAGTTAAAGAGCTGAAGTTCATGGAAAAAAATTGATAGATATCTCAAATGACAAGATATTATGGAAATATTTTATTTCAATTCTGTCCTTTTAAAGCTGAAGAAACCAAGTCCCTGAGAGCTATGTGACTGGCCAGAACCAAATGGTTATTTTGTGGTCAATGTATCGCTAGGCAGAAAGAGATTATCTTTACCTAGATATTTTGGGAACATTTTGGTGATATAAAAACATGATTATATAAAAATGTAGTAATTCATATCACATACCTTATTAGGTAACCAAACAATGATAAGTTGCAGTTTCTTGGCTTCTGTTTTTTATACTAAGGCTTAAATATTATTTTATTCATTAGGGAAATCTTCATCACCGATTATATGCCAGGCACTGTTCAGTTGGGGGGGCGGGGGGTGGAGGACCATTGGAGAGTTTTGAGCACAGAAGTGATGTGATCTGATTTATTTCAAAGGACCACTCGAGTTGCTGTGTGGAGAATAGACCATGAGGCACAGATGGGAGGTCAGCAAAGGGGAAGCAGGCAAAGCAGTGAGGAGGCGGCTTGCACCAAGGTGGAAGTGGAAGGAATGCTATTTTGAAGGAAGAGTCAGCAGGATTTGCTGCTAATGCACTGGGTATGAGTGTGAGAGGAAGGAGTGAGTCAGCCATATTCCAAAATATTTGGCTTCTGAAAATACAGCAACTGAAAGAGTGCAATTGCCATGAACTGATATGGAGAGAACCAGAAAATTAAGGATTGAGGGGATAAAATCTGCAATTCAGTTTTGGACATATTGTTTGAAAATGCTAGAAGATATTCAAGAGTGATATGAATCAGCACGATCAGACCTAAGCAAGTGGGGTTTAGAGGAAATACTGGGTTATGTATTTTCTCACTCCAATTTTGAAGCAAAGAGCTTAATTATAGCTAATTATCACCCCTAAAGTCTCTAATAAAGCATTTCTCACTAGAGTGTTAGTAACTACTATATTCTACTGATTCAACTAATACTTTATTTATTAGGAGACAGATACTATTATAGGTTCTGGGGGGTTTAAAGATGACTATGGTCCTTGTTCTGGGTGCCTAGATGTAGAGGAAGGGAAAGAAAATAAACAAAAGTCTACATCATTATAAATGCTGTAAGAGTTTGCCCAACATGCTAACAAAAACCCAGAAGCAGACTCAGTTAACTATCCCGGGAAGGCAGAGTTAGTGTTTGAGTGGTCTTAGGGTTGTGTATGTGTTTTTCAGACAGGCAAGGGTGGGACGAGCATTCCAGGCGAAGAAAACATGCACTGGGTGCCAGGACAGGGCTGGGCAGAGCTCATGCAGGACCCTGGTGCCTTATGGCCAAAGCCCAGGCTGTGTGGGAACGGAGGCTGTTAATAGCCAGGATGAAGAGAAAGCAGTGGGTGTGGAGTGCGGAACATATGATGTGCTGGGCTGCTATGCTACCCCATAAAGGAAGAGGGGGCAAACACAGGCAGGATGAGTAAAGACACACACATCCGTCCACGAGGGCCCAGCTGTGCTCGGCTGAGCTGCGTTAATCTCCTGGCGGCAGAGGAGGTGGCCCTGCTGTCTGGGAGGGAGGGTCCGGTGCCAGGAGCTGACAATGTCATGAAAGGGTGCCCTTCAGAGGGTTGTCTATGGCTGCTGAGAACAGGGCCAGCTGTTGGCGGGGGTGGGTAGGAGGGGGGGGGGCAGAGAAAGAGCAGGCACGCCCCGGAGAGGCCTTGGCCCCCATCTGAGAGGAAGGAGAGCCACCAGCGAACTTTAGTTCCAAGAGGCCCGTGATGAGATTTTCCCAAGGGGCCACTCCTTCCCAGGAGACTGACAGGGACTGGTGCTTCAATGCAGAGAAATTCATCACGTTTGATAGAAGTACATCAATGGATCACAAAGCCTGTGCAGAGAACACTGGGGCGGGCGGCCCTCAGACCATGTCACAGTGAAAGGCTAACTACCTACTCTTCTATTATGTAAGATCAGGCTGAAAACATGTGGTTTCTGTCCAGTTTTAGCCTTTGAGAATCACAAAAGAAATGCTTTTACTTAGGATATTTTAGAAATATGGAATGTCTGCAAATATTTGTCAATTTTAAGCAAAGTGTTAAGATTTAAATAAACACTATATAAAGGATCATCTATTAAAATTATGTTCATGATGGAGTGTGTGTGTGTGTGTGTGGGTGTGTGTGTGTGTGGGCACTGATGGAAAAAAGGAAAAATCTAGGGTTGTAAGAGGATAATCTCTCCCATTCATGTTTCACAGGAGCCATTCTGCATTGATAGAGTAGGCCACTTGTTCTTATCCATGAAGTCGAATGGTGTGGCTGCAGAGTGTGGACAAGGTACCTACGTGGATTGTGCACTTCTGAGCACGGGAGGCCTGGGTATACAACTGTGCCTGGGTTTCTTTAGAACTCAGTCGAAATTCCACCTGGTTATTTCTGGAAACCTTGTACAAGAGGATACACGTGATCTAGCTGTTTTCTCAAGGACAGGAAGTGGGAACCAACAGACAGGAAAGAGTGAGTACAAGCTGCATTATTCACCCGTAATCCCCTAAAGCCTGTAGCAGAAAGCCACCCGGGAAAGGCTTTCTCCTTCTGGAAAATCACCACAACATCATCACGATCCCGTATTCCCTTGCCAAGAGTGATCTGAATTTCTGAAAGTAGTAGATGAACATGGTGGCTCCTTCATCTGATCGCCTGCCTGCTCTGGCTAGACTCTTGTGTTTATGGAGTCACTACCCTGCATGTGAAAAGCTTGGTTCACACCATGTGACACCAGTCATCAATTTCTACCATTCGGGTGAGTTGCCAAGTAGACTACTCACCCAGGCTCTTTGGAGGTGGAAGTGACTACTGGTTTAGGGGAGATGGTGGAAGTTTATAACAGAAGAACTCTACAACTTTAAAGCTAAATAATCCTCACCTCTCTCTCTCTGCAAGTCCCTTGGTCTCTCCATTTTGCTGTTCATCTTTTCTTCCTCATCAGCATCCTCCTTCCTACAGGCATAAAATAAATAAATAAACATTATTAGTATGATGAAGAATTTTAAAATTTCCCTGTTGTAATATGCAGAATAATTTTCTATCTCCATTCTCTCCCTTGAAACTCAGCTGCAAACTGCATTATTTATTGGAGACTCTAAGGAAGCTCTTATGCCCAGGAATGGGCCTGGCCCTCTTGACCAAATAAGTCCTTAGACAAAAGCTCAGAGACTAGCAGTAGATATCTCTGCCTGCAAAATTATAGCTAAATGCTATATTCTTTTCTGTGCCTTTTCATCATTTTTCAACATTTTTACTGTACTTTTTATGCAGGTACAAATAATCAAATGCTTTGAAATGTTCTGGGAAAATAAATCTAGTCTTTTGTGGAAAATTGTTTCTTGGAGAGCATGTATGGAAAGGGGATTTGAAGAAAGCTGAAGTTGATGTTAAGAGTGGGGGTCAACAAACTTTACCTATGAAGGCCCAAAGAGTAAATATTTTAGGTTTTGTGGGTCCCACGGTCTGTGTCACAGCTATTGGACTCTGCCATTGTTCAGAAAGCAGCCATAGATCACACACGAATGAGTGTGACTGTGTTCCAACAAAATTTTATTTACAAAAACAGGTGGCAAACCAGACTTGGCCCACAAGCTGTAGTTTGCCAACCCCTGCTAAGAGGATGTGTCAAATGTGGAACACGTTATACATGAACTTCATAAGAGCATGAGGGAACACCTCAAAAACAGGAAAGTTGAGATGATGTGGTTAAACAATTGTGTAGCTTCCATAAAACGTAATTTTTTCTCTTATTAGTATATTTTAGAAAGTTTAGAAAGATAAAATGTTTGGCTCCTTTAATAACTTAAAGAAGTTTAAAAGGAACTGGGAGAGTAGAATGCTAGAACTGAGAGAAAAGCTAAGTTGGATTAGAGAAAATAAATCAGGTAGAGAAAAACTTGGTGAACGGGGAGAGACAGTGTGGGGCGAAGACTACCGACATGGTCTCAGTTACCCTGGGTGCATGTCCAGCCTCTGGTAGGAACTCTTTGATGATCAAGTCAGTTTAACTTCTGAGGCACCCAGTGCTCTTTCTTGTAAATGATAAAAGAGTTGCACTATATGAATCTAATGTCCTCTCCTGCTCTAGGATTCCATGAGGAGTTAACTCAGAATCTTATGGAGAATAGAAATGAACACTGGAAAATATTTTCTCCCTTTTTACCCTTAAGATTTAATAAACACATTGAGTGTTGCTTGCAGGCCAGGTGGTTGCCCCTACATTATCTTACTTCACACGCCCAATAACCAACACTTTTTTCTTCCTTGGACCTGTCCAGTTGAGCCTAGTGGTTGGGTATCCTTATTGAGATCTTCTCATATAGAACCTGGACCTCTCAGAAGTTAAATAACTGACTTGGCTACCCAAATAGTAAGTGGTAGAACTGAGAGTCAAACTTTAGGCCCACTATGTCAGGCTGCATCATTTATTCCACTCAGTCATAGTTGCATACCTTTTTTTTTCCAGGAAAGGAAAAAATAGACATTGAAAGGCAAATGGGAACTTTCTTCTGAGTGCACAAATGAAAGAAGTCAGTAGGAAGTTTTCAAAATTTATACTGGAAGTACATACCATTGAGGGAAACCTTTAACAGCAAGATTAGGTTTGGCGGGAGTTAAAGGTACTTTTCTATGGAGGCCTAAAAGAGAAACGGAGTGGGAGAGGGCTGGGTGTTGAAAAGGACGTAAAGGAGGACACAGAAGTCAGTCCCAGTCTGCTACCTGAATGACTTGGAAAGGAGCAAAGTCCTCCAAAGGAGAGGGACCTGCATCCTCCGAGTGCCTTTGCCCCATCTGGGAGGGCCTCCCTGCATCTGTCACTGTGCCTTACAAGGAAATGGACAGTGCACCTGGGGACAAACTGCTTTTCCTACTGCCTTCTGACTCCAGCTAGTCCCCTAATGAAGACCAATAATTAGTTTAGACTCACGGAGTCAGGGCAGAGGGAGGAGGGGCTGCTGCCCGGCTCAAGAAGGAAGTTGGTATCACCTTTGAACATGACTGCAGACACAGCAGAGGCCAGTGACAAACCAAGATTTTGGGTTTTAGTTACTGGCCTTTCCAGTGAAAGAACTCATTGTATCTTAGCCCTGGGGTTTGGTTGGGAAACATGTTCTTCTTTTATATTTACATCGAGCGCGCGTGTGTGTGTGTGTGTGTGTGTGTGTGTGTGTGTGTGTGTTTACTTTCCAATCACAAAGGGCCCATTTATCATCACTAAGGAAAACAGGAGAGAGCATTACAGGACATGGACAGCACTGTGCCCAGGAAATTGCATTCTTGTCTGGATCCAGACAGCTCCGGTGGACAAAGAAGGCTTAGCTGCTCGCAGCTGTTGATGTGTCTTTTGAAACATCCGGATGAGGTCTAGTTGGCCAGAAGAAAAGTGAGTCACGGTAGGATGAACGAAGCGAGGTCATGGGGATGGAAGATGGATGAAATAAGCAGGAAGACAGTTATCCTCTCAGCCAATGGATTCATAGGCCCTGTCCAATATTCTCAACTTAAGACATTCTGCTGAGGGTTTGGGGCAAGGTCTGTGGGTCGGTCAGTCCGGCTCTCTGTCTTCGCTGTCTCACCTGTCCCCCACCATCTTTTTCCATAGGGAGTCTTACAAAGGTGGCGTGCACTGAGAGTCCAAGCTGTTTTACCAGCTGAAATCCCCCACTGTGTCAACATAAAAACTCATTATGTCTGCTTTTAGGAACCACAGCATTTTAGTAAAGCTTGCCCGCCTGGCACGTTAGGATGAGCTTTTGAGATTGAAGACTAATTTCTACTTCAATACCTTGTGTTTTAAAACCCTCATATCATCCTTGTCCTTTAGTACCTTTTCAGGATAGGGATCAAGCAGGACAAGTCAGGGGACACATTTGTATTCAATCACATTACAGGTGTTTGGTCAAGAGTTTAAAATTGGGGGAGAATAAACAATTAGCCAAATATTGACCAGCCATGTTCAGGTGAGTACACGGCAACTATGGAGGCATGGGAAAATCCTGGTTAGAAGCCACATGTGGCAAATGGAAAGGGAAAGGATAATTTCCCAGGTAAAAAGGGTCCTGCCCTGGCTGGGTGGTTCAGTTGGTTCGAGCGCTGTCCTGTACACCAAAAAGTTGAGGGTTTTATTCCCATTTAGGGCATATACCTAGGTGGTGGGTTCAATTCCCAATCGCGGCATGTGCAGGAGGCAACCAATAGATGTTTCTTTCTCACATCAATGTTGCTCTCTCTCTTTCTCTCTCCCTCTCTCTCAAATCAATGAACATATTCTCAGGTGAGGATTAAAAAAAGGGTCCAGCTGAGAGTCATGGACTCCCCTGGTAGTGGTACTGAACAAGGAAAGGCATTTAAATGCTTTCTTGGAAGGAGTCACTGTACAGCTTTCCAACCCTTTGGGGGCTTCTCTCTTCACAGATCTTGGTAAAGGGAAACCCAGGATCAGCGCTCACCCTCCCTTTCTCTCTCTTTAAGATAGCACCTGTAATAGAAAGTTAACTTAATCCTGTGACCTACTCCCCAATACCTCCATTTCACCTGATTTATCTGAGTCCTTTTGGATGACAAGGTTGAATCAGGAGAGGACAGAACCAGAATTCCCTGAGGAGAATATCTTCATGGCTTCACTCTCTTGACCTGAAAAGAGGCAGCAAAAGAAAAAAGTGAAACCAAGTGTCCTACCATACAGCACATTTTAGGGGAGAGGCAGCTTCTAGTGTCAGTGATGATTTTGTGTCTACAAAGCACAGCTGCTCTCATGCCCGTTCTAAAGGGAAGAGACTCAGTTGTCCTTAAGCTGTGGTCCAATATTTGCAGGTCTAGGCTGAAGACGTGTGCTAAAATTCTGGTTACACTAGAAAAAACATATTTTGACTCAACATTTAAAAAGTTAACCTTGACAATGCCTTAAAAAAGTAGTAAACCTCTTAGCACTGAAAATGCTCAAACAAAATGCCCATCTGGTTTGTATAAACTGGGGAAAGCTAAGCTGAAGTAACAAACGCACCCAAAAGATTCAGGGACTTAAAAAATACGGTTTTGTTTGTTTGTTTCTTCAGGCAATAGTCCAAAGTAGGTATGCAGGGACCCAGTTTGATGACTAATCTAGTATTTTTCTGGATGGTCCATCCCCGTGACCTACCTGGCTAAGGGGAAAAAGCATCCTGGGAAAACCCACCCATGGGAAGTGGCCCACACCTCCACTGCCCCCATTGCATTGGCCATAACGAGCTGCCAGGGGGTCTGGGAAGTACGTTACAGCTCACTAGTCACAGCCTCGCTCGGCACTTCCAATCCCTACAGTCAGTGGATAGCAGGAGGCGTGTGTTTGGGGAGGTAGCTGGAAATCTTTGGTATCATGCCCTGGAGTCAGACTAAAATAGTTTGAAACGTGGTGCAGCAATTCTATAGCTATGGTACTTTTAGGTGAATCATTTCACCTCTCTGAAATATTGTTTCCTCATCTGGAAAATGGAAGAAGGAAACTTGGCAACATCTAGGTCATCTGTGTGGAAATAAAAGGGAAAAACCGATGTATTTCAGAGCACTGGGTTATTAGGCCAACTCTCTGTTGTTGTTGTGATGGGAATCTAAGTGTAAATGCACCCAAATGGTAAACATCACCAGCACACTCTACGTCTGTGAGCAAATGACAAAGTCGAGGCAAAAGGCAGCAAGAGGGTTTCAGGTTAGGAGTGAAAACGGAACCTCTGAACACAGATGTCAGAAAGTAGAAGGGAAGGGAGGATGCAGGGATGGGCTATTGAAGAGAACGAGAGAGCCACTTTGTCTAGATCAGTGGTCGGCAAACTGTGGCTCTAGAGCCACATGCGGCTCTTTGGCCCCTTGAGTGTGGCCACAAAGTTTCAATCGCACTGTATGTGCACGCCCGCACGTGGTATTTTGTGGAAGAGCCACGCTCAAGGGGCCGCAGTTTGCTGACCACTGGTCTAGATAACCTTAGAAGAAGATGTGATTCTTATTTCCTTGGGGGTGGGTTTGAAAAAACCACAAACTCACTTACAAAGAGGGCTTCACTGAAGGTCATTTCTCCAAGTCCCTTCTAGATCTAGTTATTTCCCTCGAGGTGGCCTTGGACTGTGCAGGCATCACCAAATGCAGGAACAGCTGAGCATCTTTTCATAGAAAAACTTAAAATTGTTTACCTTTCCGGATCCTAATAGTATAGAGAAAAGGGAGTATATATCAGAGGCCGGAAAGCTGGAGACATCTGTAGACCATGCAAAGCAGTCGTCTTCAATAACATACCTGCTGAGTCACAGCTCCAGGGAAAGTGCTGAATGCAGTCGAAGGTCTGTGTGAGCTGCCAGCTCCTCGCTGTTCTTAGCATGGCTTGACAAAAAAAACAAAACAAAAACAGAACTCAGTAAATTGGTTGCTTTGCAAACAGAAATGGAAGGAAATAGAAAAGGTACAGAAATGTATAGTTTCCCATTCACTCACTTGTTCATTCGTTAAACAAATTTGTCTCAGGCATTTGGAATGAACATCGATGCACTAAACACACAAAGAACTTATGTTCCAGTTGGTGAGGCACGCAATAAGCAATAAATGCAATGAATTATAGACATTGGAAAATAGCAAGTGTTACGGAAAACAAAACAGCAGAGGACAGTGAGATTGGGGAGGGGGATGTGAACAGTATGTGATTTTGAATAGAATGGTCCTAGTAGGCCTTACTGAGAAGGCAACATTTGAATGAAGACTTGGAGGTGGGGGAGTTCGATGTATAGAAAAAGCATGTTCCAGGAAGGGGGATCAACAGGGCAAGGGCCTGAGTTGAGGAAGTGCCTGGGTCATATCCAGAGGGCTCCTGGGGGAGGGTCAGAGGATATGACAGCCTCAGCGATCTCCCAGTGGTCATCCTCCTCCCAGGGAAGAATGAGAACAAGGTGGGAAAATAGCTGTTTTTCCCCAGGAACATAAAGCATGAGAATAAGATCCCCCTATAAGTATCATAATTATTAAAGTGCACGATAGGAATATCTTTAATTTTAGAACAGAATAATTCATTACACACCTTTTAAAATCCCATTTTAAAGTGAATTATATAACAAGAATTAGGTAATTCTTATGTTCACAATATTCTTTCTTGCTTAACCAATGTATTTCTCTGAGAGGCAGCATAATGTCATAGGAAAGCAGCCTCAGTTTGGGGGATCAGACTTAAATCTGTTTCTAATCTTGACCTTTCTATCTACTAGCTGTGTAAGATACTTAACAGCTTTAAACTTCAACTTCCTGCCCAGAAGAGAGGAGTGGTGATACTGGATAAATGTGATAGCGCATGGTAGATAAATATTACAGTGTTCATACCATAGAATGCACCCTCAAGGTTAGTTTTTTCTTAAAGCAGGGGAAACCATGTCAGTGTGGAATGTCTGCTCTCCGCTATCCTTGAAAGAAGCTCTCCTCCCTGAAACACCGGCTCTTATATATGAAATGCAGTTTGCCAAAGTTGAAAGAAGAAACGTTGCTTTCCACTCAGATGCCCTTGGCTTCATTTGTGGGCTTTTGAGAGCTCGGTGACCTCCAGCACTATACCACTGATGAAGCATAGTGTGCGAGAATTCGGTGCAATGATGAGAAGAATCATCTCATAAAAGAAGCTATTCTTGTGATGTCTTCAGCCCTCGCTCAAAGTCTTGTGGTTTCCAATAGATCAAACAAAGCCTGGGGTAAAAATAAAACCTTGATGGAGATTTGTCCGCAGAAGCCAACTTGCTAGAAGGCTACATTTCTCAATGATTTTATGGTCTGGTATTTCAGTTATATGCTATCAATTACTCATTTTTCTAACACCAGAGCACTGACTCAGAGCTCTTACTAATTATGAGAGATGCTGTGAAGAATGAGAAGGGGATTTCAAATGCTTTGATTAAAATGACATTCACAGAATTGACATTTAAGTGACTAATTTGGTTCTTTTTCCATACTATAAGCTCATTCATATTTTGTACCGGTATATGAAAAGAGATTTGGAGAATTTCAGGAGCAAAATCACCACCATGGGTAGCAGTCTATTTTAAAATAAAACCTTTAGTGTTCAAAGAAAAAAATCCCTGTTGCTATGCAGAGAGCTTTATTTTTAAATCATATGAACATATCATTGGATTAGAGTAAACTGCTTTAAAACAGCCTTTGACATTCTTCAGCATTTCCCTGCAGTGATTTATACCTTTGTATAATGTAGTAGAGCAGAAAAAAAGAAGACTTAGGAGTTTCAAAGTTCTGGGTTTTATTCCCAGATCAGCTGGTTGTTTGATCTTGGGCAAAAGAACCTGTTTTCTCAAATGCAATGTAAGGACAACTCATAATATTGTTCTACAGATTTAACAAGAACATTCTTTTGAAAACATCTACTATTGGTATTGGTGTCTAGTAAGCAATACATGGTAGCTATATTTCTATGAACAGTCATCATAATTCCTTTGATCCTACTTTTGAAGATCATTTCCGGTCTTCTGCAAAGCTACGTGAAACTTGAGTCAAATAACATACATTCTGGAGAGAGATACTTATAGCTAGGGAAAAGTGAAGCAAAAGAAAATGGAATAGCATTTTTTAAAGCTACCTACTATTATTGCATGATTATTATGTGCCAGACAATATGCTGAGACATTTATATGAGTTATTGCTCACAATAAAATTTTTTCTTTTTTTAAATTGAGATGTAATTGATATAAATCATTTTAAATTGTATAATTCAGTGGTTTTTGGTATATTCACATTTACATTGTTAAACCATCACCACTATCTAATTCCAAAACATTAGCAGTCATTCCCTATCCCCCTCTATCCCATGTTCTGGTAACCACTAATCTACTTTCTATCTCTAAATTTGCCTGCTCTGAACATTTTATATAAAGGAATCATATAATGTGTGACCTTTTGTGGCTGAATACTCTCTCAGCATGTTTTCCAGATTCATCCATGTTGTAGTGTGTGTCAGGGCTTCATCATTTTTAAGGCTGAATAATATTGCATTATATGGATATCCCACATTGTGTTTATCCATTCATCAGTTGATGGCATAATAACACTTTACAATTGAGGATACTGAGACAGAAAGTTTAAGAAAATTTGCCAGAGATCACACAGTACGTGTCCAGGCAAGGACTTAAAGCCAGATTTTTTTTTCTTAAATCTAGAATTAATATTCTTAATCATTTCACCTTATTATATCAAAGTTTTAATATTTAAATGGAGAGAGAGAGAGAGAGAGAGAGAGAAGGAACATATGTCCATGGCCTTGTTTTTCTATTGTTTATGTCCTTCTTAATGGTTTAGAGGTATTCTTAATATAAATATTATTCTGATACTAATTTTTGGTGGTGGTGTGTATTATAAATATTGTATTTTGCTTCATAGCTTGTCTTTTTACTTTCTTGAATGTGTCTTGATAAATAAAACTTCTTAACTTTAACATGTTAATGGTCAAATGTATCAATATCTTATAGATATAATTTTTGTGTCTTGTTTAGGTCGAGACCCACCCCGAACCCAAGGTTGAAAACATATTCACTTATATATTCTAATACAAACATAAATTTTCCTTCTTTATATTCAAGTACTTAATCTATCTGAAGTTGATTTTGGTAGGAAATGCAGAAGGGTTCTAATTTTATCCAAACATTATTCCACCCATGTATTTAATAGAAGAACTGCTCATGGCAACTGAATATTTGAAATGATATTCAACTTCATTAGCAATGGAGGAAATGCAAACCAAGGACACAATATGACAGCATATTATATTCTTTAAATAAAATGGTTAAAGCCACTTGGAAAAGAGTTTGGATTATAAAGTTGAACATACACACCCTTTGCAAGCAGTAACTCCACAGGAGAGCTATCCTTAACACCTTCACACGTGTTCATAATCAAACATACAAACAACCCAAGAACCCATGTTGGGAGACATGAGCAATTGTGAATAAACAGTGAATAAACAGTGGAATGTTCACCAAATAGAATACGATGCCACAGTCAGAATGAATGAATTACAGAGACAATATTATGAATGAATCTTAGCAAAAAGTGGGGGAAAGTAAGTCCTTGAAGATAACATCACTTTTATACTCATTTTTGTAAATTTAAAAATAATTCTAATCAAAAAGAAAACAAGGAAATTCCACACTATGGAGCCAATATATTCCCTTTCTTGCATGAACAATAAGCATTTTTTCACCTTGAGTAACTCTGTTAGGTAAAATGCCACACAATTTTATCAAATATTCATATGGAGGGCCTTGTTGGTTCTTCTTGGGCTATAGTGACAGAGATGGAGACGAGGGGTTGCAATTTGATCTACATTGTGACCAGATCTGTAGACCAACATGATCGTCTTTAAACAGGCCTTATTGTATCTACCAAACAGAATTCTGTGTAAGCTTATGAGACTGTATTTAAAAAACTAAATATTGTATTTGATTTATACTTTGAAGTTTGTGAAAGATAAGGAGAATGCAATGTCTATCATTACATCCCCAAGACTTAGGCCAGCATCATGTGGAATATACTAAGAAACTACTCAGAAAATTTTGTTGAGAAAATGGCTTTCTCCTGAAGATATGAGCCATACCATGACACGATTCAGCAGTTTTTTTGCAATGCCCCACAGCTTTTTTTGTGAAAAAGCATATGGACAACACTGAAGTGAGGCAAAGTAAGCAAATTCAATAAATAAATAAATTCTAGCTCATCAGTATGCTGTTTGACCTTGAGAGTTGAAGTTGTTTCTGTATAAACAAGATTTCCCATTTCTAGGTCTCTGGGTTCAAGGGAACCAAGCAAGAAAAATACCCTACCCTACTTTATAACAAGCAAAATAATAATAATAATAATAATAATAATAATAATAATAATAATAAAGTTAATACATTAACTATTTGCAAAATAAGTTAAAGCTAAAACTAAGCTTTCCAAGTTTTAAAAATCATTTCTAATATAGCTCATATTCACCCACAGCAAGAGTGCTTCTGTCAGAACAAGAGCAGTGCCTTCATCCCAGCTGGAAGGTATTGGGGGAACATTTGTCTCCCCATCACATTTCCACAGAGATTAAGGAGCAGTAGTGGGGTGAATACTTCTGCATCTTTTCTCTGTCCTTTTCCTCATCCTTTTCCACAGGAATAAACACAGATCCCTCTAGAAAGGTCATTGGATCTCTACGCACCTGATCCATACTCACCAAGCCAACCAGGGTGGGGATGAGGCACAGCACTGAAAGGCCGACCGCACACCAGTCTCTGTTTAACTGGCCCTCTCTGTTCTGCCGGGCATTGACTTATTAAGCTGTCACGACTCTGTGTGGTTGGCTGGGGAAAAGGTG